TTTATTTAAGTTTGAATTGTGTCAGATTCAATCAGGGGAGTCTTACTTGTTCGATTTAAATTTGGCCACCATCCCAATGTACAATTTTGGCATAAGCGTGTCGTATAATTGACAACTTGATGTGCTAAGCAATCTTCACAAATCCAACAACAAGCTGTTGTTTCTCTTGGCTATAAAAACTATTAAAGTTTAACATATTTGCGTTATTTTGAATTCGATCACTAATTTCATCGAAAGATTCAAATTTAATATCCCAAGCATACCAATTACCATCATTCCAGCATGATAATTTATATTACTCGAACAAAATTTCAAATGTTTCACAACCATTATTATTATTATTATTATTGTTATTATGCATTATTATTATGTATTATTATGCTTATTTTTAAAACCAAATTAAAATTCCTACTCGCTGTCCAATTTCACAAGCTTTGCTACAAACAGATTCTGGAATCTGATTCGATCTGTCAAAAAACATAATGTCATTTTCAATAATTTTCAAACGATATTTGCCACGTCGTTTTTTTCGGTACTCACCAACCATCCGGAACCCTTCTTCACCCCCAACATAGTTTAATATATCATACCTAAATTAACAAAACTTAAAGTTGTCGAATATTAATTTTTTATCAAATTCAAATGTTGAAATGATTGATCTGTCTCACTTATTGACCGTCGAGTAACTGACATGATTGGAACTTAAAATGCAAAGTTAATTATAACAAATATCAGTTTATACACCAAATATTCAGATTTTATGCAGAAAACATTAATTCAAGCTTGACCAGTACATGAACCAATCATGACTGAATCCAATTGATATTAAGATCAAGAAGACAGAAAGAAAGATTAATCTCTGACCTGCAGCAGATGATTGCATATATATTGAGTTATGCACATATATATGTACTAGAAAAATGTCATAATTTTCAAGTATATAAATAAAAAATCATAAAATTTAGTTTAAGTTTAATTTCTGATACCAAGCGGGTGGATCTCCATTTGCATCGAAATACATTTCTTGATTGAACTGATCAACAAACGTCACATTAAGCATATACTTCAAAAGTAAAGTACCATTCAGCGCAAACATATTTGTGCAGTCTGTTAAATTTTGTTGGCATCTATCGTTGTACAGCGCTTGCAAGGCTAATCCGATCACGCGAATTGAATTAACAACTTGGCTTAATTTTGCATCCTAAAAGTTTTCTTCATTCAGTTTCATCAATTAATTTAATTTTTTAATTAGTTCACTCTAAAAAAACTTTGATTCTTTTGCTTGATAAGAAATCCAGAAATTTGTAGAAGAAATTTTTTTTCACGAAAATTACAGTTCATCTATACATCGTTTTAAAAATTTTATATCATTTAATTCAGTATCTTGAAATAACATCTCAAAAAATGAATCTGAATCATAATTTAAGATTCTAAAAATTAGTAGTCTCTCAAATAATTTACCTGTTTGTAATTAAGAGAGAGACTTTCTTGTCCAGTGCATACTTTCGTGTCATTATCATCGTTACCCACTGAAAACTGACAATTGAATTTTTCTTGCCAAAATTCTCGGAACCAAGGATTTTGTGTATTACTTTCGGGATTCAGAGAAAAGTAATACTGATCGAACCACTCAACATATGGAGAATGAATCCTAAAATAAAATTACTTACAAGTTAATTAGAATGCTGAGAAAACTTTTAACTAACTATCATAGCAAAACAACTTACTTATCTTCACTTTCTTCAATGCTTGTCTAAAGTTCCTTTTGAAACTTCAGTTGTTTAAATTTCAAACCTATCTAATATTTTAGAAGAAAAAAATTAGCATTTATTACTTACGTTGTTCTTTTTTTTTTCAAAAATTTACAGCACCTTATAGAGAAGCTCCCAGCAGCTTCAAGTTCCACGCCATCAACAACATCTAGTCTGTCATTCCAACCATCGCTGCAAATCCATTGGAATGCACGCATGTTCGGGTTCCGTTGTCGAAGACGTTGCTGAGCTTTGAACATTTCATGCATTGTACGACCTTCGCAAAAGCATACGACCACTTGCGGTACTGACTTTTGACTTCTGTCGAACAAAACAGCTTCATTTAAGATTATTATTTAAAAAATTAATAATTTGTATTTAATATTTCGAACACTGATCAACTCCTAATTTGATCGCATGCGACCTTTTCTTGCATTTAATGAAGCTTCAATAACAACTGCAGCAGTTTGCTTCTATTTTTCCAAGAGTAAACTGCTTTATGACGCGTTATAAATATTGTCACTAATACTGATACCTTAATGAATTCAAAATTCTATCAAATTCGGCAGGTTCTGCTAAGCTGTTTACTTTTTCTGAATAAGCAATGCAAACATTTCTGGCCAAATTATTGTTGATCGTTCTTTCCACCTCTTCAAAGCCTTTTTCTCCATAATTACCTGTAACAATGAAAACTAACTAGTAATAACTTTTACTAACTTTGGTAAAAGGTTAACAAAGTTATCGAAATTTTTGAATGCTTTGTTTTCACGTATTAAAATATTGATAATAATAAATCATATTACAATTTTATTTAAGAAGTTTTGAAAATTCAAAAATTTTTTTATCAAATTGACAAAAAATCTATTTAATGCAATCAGTTGATAGTAAATTTTTATAGCGTATGAAACTGCATGAGTGGTCAAGGACTTGCTTACTAGAAGTAAAAAGTATTTAAGTAGTGGAATGCAAAAACTCTGTCGACAAATGAATGCACAACATATAAGTTTAACATTGAACATTTTTTGAATATGATTAAATTATATTTGGTGATGGATAAAATATTTAAATTTAGTAATGAATTCATTATCAACAACCAGCTGAATATATAACTGCAACATAAGTCCAATTGAAATATTCCAACATGGCAACAACTAGCTTAGCTTGCCAAGCATCCGCTGGTACCACACGCATAAAATATCGAAACTGATCTTTATCAGAGAGGTCAGATGTCGTTGAACTATAACCTGCAGTTTTCTCTTCTCTTATTACTACATTTTTATTGATTTCTGTAGTTTTTTGAATGCTGAACAATAATGTTTTACTTAAAATCAAAAAATCATATCTTTTAGTTGTTTAGAATTTGAAAAAGCCTTTCATTATTTTTAAATTAAAAGATTTTCAATTATGCAAATGCTTTTTATCCAGAATTGCAATAAATGAATAAAACACATTAAAAATTACCAATTTGTGGAATATGGAAAACTTGTAATAAGTTTTGTACTGCGATTGTGCTAGAACTCTTAGCTGGACCAACAATGGCTACTACCGGGCCATTTTTCTTCTGGCAGGTCGGTGGTGTGCAACATGAACATTGATTAACACCTTCTCGTAGAAATGCTATTGTTTGTTCTATGGCAATACGTTCTGTCCAGCAAGAATCTCTACAATTCATCACAATTATTACCATTGTAATAAAATCATATTTAATAAATGATTAGGTGCCAGTCGTAAATTGAAAAAATAAACCCAAAAGTCACTTGAGCAATATGTGAAAAAAAATATTTGAATTACAAAATATTGCTAGCTTAAATGCTGAGGTCAAATGGCTTCACATTTTTAACAAGTGCTTATTAAATTTTCCGCAGATATTGTTACACTAGCACAATATTCAGTAGAGCGAACTCATTTAATTTAAAAAATAACAAAAGCATGAAAGGCTTCTGAATTAAGCCAGCAGAGCAAGTTTTAGCTAGAGAATTTCAAAAAAAAAAAATAGATCGCTGAGCTAAGATTTAATTTTATTTATATAAGTTAAAAGAAAAACTAGCACTCTGAATGTTTTGGTTTTTGAATCAGATGGAAAGATGATCGAGAAGAGCTGTCATCAGAATGAGGAGATTAATTTTTTCAAATATAATTATGTGACTTACAAATTTTTTCGTAGATACGAATGAAAAAGGTAATTTTTCACTCATATCTAAGAAAAAAAAGAAAAATCGAAAAGACTTAAAAGTCTTTTCTTAGTACTTTCATTTGTTTTAATTTCAGTCTATGTTAACAATTGCAGAAAAAGGAAAGTAGCTTTGACCAGAAGCATTTAGCCAAATAATTTGGGCAATAGTAAAGACTTCCTTACGAAGCTTGTTACTTGTGAAATTAAAACAAAATATATTCGAAACACTTTACAGTTTCTGAAGCAAAAATTTTTATTCCTTCATCACTACACATTTTTATGGTTTAAATTGCTAAAAATTAAGCTGAAAATATCTTATTTATACCTGATGGTGATGCCAAGTTTAAAAGGTAAATAAGTATTTAATTCTGCTATCGTACTCAAAGCAATTTCCATTCGTTGTATACCGTACTGCTCCCAGATTCTACCGCATCCTTCTGTACCTGTGATTTGATAATGCAATGGAAACAATGCACCAATCTAAAGTAAATAACAATTTAAGATTGCTCATTCTGCAATTGTATTCAAAAAGTATTGTTGTATTTCACACTACTATCACTGCTCTTTTTATCATTACTATCATTGTGTTTATCACTGATATTGTAATTGCAGATATTATTTTCACCATTTCTTTTTGGATTTATTCAACCACTGATTACTAAACTCAATAATACTTCAAATTGTATATTATAGTTTGAGCATTACTAAGCACATCAGTTTTAAAGTAATTGAATTCTTAACTCGATCATTACGAGATATAACTAGATTTTGTAAACTTTTTCGAAAATATTGATGGAGCCATCAATTTTTATCAAGTTACTTCAAATTTCTATATTAACACACAAATTTTTGAAAATAATGATAGTTCTGAACTTTAAATTGGTTACCAAAAATATGAATTTTTTTCTGCGATTTTCATGAAAATTTATTATTGTGGATCTATTTTTAATTGAATTTTAATTTTGTTCAATAATTTGCCCAATTTTATTTTTGGAAAAGTACACTACTAGTTAGTTAACTTGTTCAACTTTTTTGCCGGAAAAGTTTTAAGAATCTAAATTTTATGTATATCACATTTTTGCCCTACCAAAACATGTTTCGGAACTTGAACTAGCAATAATGGCATTCTGGCATTTCATGAAAATAACATATTGCAGTATTTTATTTTTCAGTTCTTGTGTACTTTATTTATGTGAATTGCGAGAAAAAGGTAAAACTAAAATAAAATTTGCTAGTGCAATAGTTTGGTAATTTTTCGTGAAGATATAAAGTAAGTTTCATACCTTCTTGAAAAAATTACCCACATACATGACACAGTTTAAATATAACTTCAGCATTGAGATTTACACTTTTTTATGATCGTCAATGTTTGCATTGAAAAAGAATGTTTTTATAAATAAATAATCAAGATTTTCAAAACTTGTTTAAAGCTTTTCATTTGTATACTAATTATCACGGTCAGATAATTTTTAGCTTAGCTGTCTGCCTAAATTATCATTTTTCCAATTTTGTGAATTATGAGTATCTTTGGAATCCATCAATCAAATCTTAGTATTAAAAAAATTTTGCTGGCACATATGCATCAAAGCAACAATAATGTTAAATATAGCTGCTATAATATAATTTTGATTTAAAAGACGATACAAGGGCAAAGTTAACATATTTTGCAAATGTTGTGGACGGCATCTATCATTTTTATTGCGAAAAATTTTCGATTTAAGGAATCTCAAACTGGAATTGAAATTAAAAAAAAAATTTTTGCATCATGAGAAAACGTCTCTTTATTTTATTCATTGTTACTATAGCTTACTTCATTCAATAAAAAATGGATAAAACTAATAACATCAAAATACGATAGCATAATTTCAAAAGTTAAACTTAAGCAGAATTTTTATCAGTAAGTATTGCGAATAAAATACGAAGCTAAAACAATTGAGCGACACTGAAAAATAAGAATTTCACAAGCGAATCGCAAAAATTAGCTGCCAGACATTTGTGCAGCTGTTTACGTTAACTAATTCTATTATCAAATGATTTTCGTAATTATTCTTCTTGTTTCATTCATTACTATTATAACCATTATTCTTGAAATTAATACTTGTGAGTGTTCCATTACTTTTTAATATCTTTTTTTGCGAAATCTGTGAATAATAAAAATAATATAAAATACTTTGTACTAAATTAAGTTTCATAAAATAACATGAAATATAAAGCAAAAATCTTTTGTGTATTAAAACTTATTGTTAATATCTACTTTGCTGTCTATGCAAAGTTTTAATTTCATTATAATTGCTGCAAAAATATGCTTATATTTTTTGCTTCAAGAAAATAATTTCTGTCAATGATGAAAACATCTGACTTGAAATTGCAAAGTTTTTGTTTGATCTTCCTGAAATTAAAAACCTGAGATTGGGATTTACCCCTCAAATATTTCCCAAAATTACAGAAATACTTGTAGGAAAATTTTATTTCCATATTTGTTCATGTATGATAATATTATCAAAAAGAAAATTTTTTTAGCTTTCTGGAAATGACAAGAACGCATCAATTAACTGAAGCAGAATATACATATCTTTTAATTTCAAACTTATATACTACCTAATCCTATACCAAGAAAAAATGAGTTGGAGAAAATAATTTACTGTGTTCTACCTACCTAACATTTTGTTACTTTTAGTTCCGCATAAGACTGTGCTATAGATGTCTTGAAAAGTCGATTTTAATGATTTAAAGTGAATGTGATCAAAATCGAATGCAGCAACCAGTTAAATATTATAATAAAGCTGGCAAATTTTTGTTGAAAAAAAATTTTACTTAGTACTAATTTTTTATTGGTTTAACCTTAAATTTAAAAATTTTAAGTTTTCAATAAATTTCATAGCAATTTGAAAGCGAAAATTCATTATTACTGAGCAATATAATGAATTATCAATTCTGAAAACTTGTTTTTCATATTACTTCTTTGAAAGCAATACATATACTGAAAAAACGTTAAATTTTACGCTAAATACTTTATTTATTCACATTTTTCACTCAGCAAATATTCTTTATTCCAAAAATATCATTTTTCAAATAATTTATAATATTTTTCTGAATTATCTTTGATGTCTTTTTGAATAATTTAAAATTTTAATTTCTTAAAGTATTAAAACATTTACCTGCACATCTCCAGGTACCTCAGCTACAAGCATTCGTGCTGCTTTTGAAACCGTTGTTTTGGCAATCACATCAACGACCCGAAGCATTAGCAGTGTCACGTGACTGTACAACATAATGCTCGTGATCTAGCGTTCATTTTTATTTTCCAACACAAACTTTTAAATTTCTTAAAAAGTTTGTAAAATTATTCATGCTCATAATTAGCATCTATCCAATAAATTAAACGCGATATATTACATGTAATTATTATGCTATAATAAGATTAAATAATGATGGTGATATCAACGGTGGTAGCAATCAAGATAATGACTAAAATAGTATGAATGCAAATGAAAAATAGTTAATAAATGGAATCCTAATAGTAGATAAATGATAAGAGTGACAGCAAGCAGATAATAGTAGTACTGATAAAAGCAGCTATGCTAAGCATAATATTACAGCAACAATACTGATAGATAAGAATGATGGCAACAATAGTAGTAAGAAGAAAATGAACGGATAACAGTATTGTAATGCATGAAGGCATTACTGTCTGCAGGGTCACATGCTAATTGTCTTCGAGCAGCCATACAATGAATAAAAAGTGAACGGACTGACATTAAGTAAATAATGAATTTTCGTTGCACAAAAAATTAAGAAAACAAATCATTTTGGCGTGAAATGACATTGCTTTAAGAAGTTCACTTGAACTTGAATTAACTCAGTCAGTCAGTCAGTGAGTCAGTCAGTGAGTCAGTCTCAAATTCTTTTATGCAAAAAATTTTATCTTTTCATGCATAATATTTTAATTCAAATTAACTCTTTTTGCAACCAAATATTGCACTTTCAATTGACTTTTTTGCAGGAAAAAACACATTGAATTGAATTGAACTGAATGGAATTGAATTGAATTGAATATAAAGACTGAAATTAAATTCGAAAACGAATTTCGCTCACTGTTGAACGAAGCGAGCAAATTTTACCGTTTTTTGACGAATAATAATGTTTATTAGTGGCAAATAGTCTGCTTTGCCCCTCTAAATTCGTTACTTCCTGAAGTGCCGCCTAATATTTATTTATATATATATATTTGATCGAATAGTAAATTTTCTTTTTTTAACTGTTTCCTTTTTCATTCTTCATTAATTTCACTATTCCTCTCTCTCTCCTTTTTGTATTTCGCACCTCTTCTCCTCCCTTTCTTTGTCTTTCGTAATTCCTCTCTCCCTCCTGCCCTCATTTTGTAATCCATCCATCTCCCCTTGTAATTTCTCTCTTCCCCAGCTTTTTGTATTTCGCAATTCCTCTCCCTCTCCTCTCCTTTCCTCTCCTCCCCTCTCCTTTCCTCTCCTCTCCTCTCTTCTCTTCTCCTCTCTTCATTTCGTAATCTCTTTCTCCTTTCTTCCTTCCTCGCAGTTCTATCTTATAACCCTTTACTTTCCTTTTTCATTTGTGTCTCTGTGATAGTAGCTTTTTAGTGCTGACTAAATTGATGAAACAAAGCATTTCTGCTGCTCTTTTGCTCTGCAGCACTCTACTTTTCTGTTCTTCTCCGTTAACTCAAAAAGTGAGTGAGAAGTTCGCTGCGTAATTAATTCATTGCCGAGATGTTATCACTGCAAGTTTAATTATTACCATCGACGATCGACGAGATGTACGCAACGAGCATGCAGAAGTGTTGTTTCAGTTCCATGCATTTATCTGACAGAAACTGCAAATATTTTAAATTTACTTTCATTACTCAGCTATTAATCTATCTTTCCTCTCATTTGTGATTAATTCCCAAATTTGTACATTCTATTGATTCAAATGATATTAGCATCGATAATGATCATAATGCAAATGATATTAGCATCGATACTCATCACAGTTCAAATGATACTAGCATCGATAATCATCACAATTCAAATGATATTAGCATCGATAATCATCACAATTCAAGTGATATTAGCATCGATAATCATCACAGTTCAAATGATATTAGCATCGATAATGACCACAATTCAAATGATATTAGCATCGATAATGATCACAATTCAAATGATATTAACATCCATAATAATCATGGTGATAACATTTGAAAAAACAAAGGTAATAATTACAGCAAATGGTATCATTATTGTTGATTGCCTAATGGCGCGCAGCAAAAATTAATGAGAACGCATTAACTGCACTAATTTAATTTCGTAACGGATTGATATACCTCATGGTCACCAATAAACTTAATAATAGATAAGACTCTTGAATAAAAAATGATTTGTTTAAAAATGACAGATTGATTAGATGGTATCTTTTAATTTATCTTTCCAGCATTTCTGTTTTTGATTACTTATTGATTATATGGTATTTACAACTAATTTAAGCCAAATTAGATCACATCAACAGATCAGCAGCTTGAATTTTCAGATTACAATGCTTTGCCAATTGTTATGAGTAATCAAAAAACGGATAAACAATGCTGGAAAGATAAGTAAAGCCTACAGTGGGCAAGACGTAATCAGATGTGAAGCAAAGAAACGAACCTCCTAAAAACTTTCATTTAATCTTCCGATCACCCATTCATTTCTTTATTATAATTTCAACTTGACTATTTTTTATTATTAATTAATAATGCTCGAAATTATTAATTAATAATGCTTCTGCTAATGGAGCTTTAAGAATATTTTTATGAAGCTTAAATTATTGCGCTATTTATTTAATATAACTAAAATTTGCTTAATATAAATGGATGATTGCTTTTCAATTATTTGCTGTATGTTTGCATTTATTCATTTCTAATTTTTTTTTGTAGTTTTCATCGTAACATATGATGGATACTGTATGCATCTTACATATTAGTATGTAGAACTGTTCGGTGAGGTAATTTTTCTTTATCGAAATATTCTTTAAAATCATGTGGTTTAATGGTATATCCTGAAAATTCTCAAATAGATATTTTTTTGAAGTCACTCTAACTTTTCTACAAAGTTGAATGAGCAAAATTATTTAAAAATTATAGCAAAGTTGAACTAGATTTCCATGCAAAATATTTCAAATGTTAGAAATATTTTCGAATTATTACCAACAACCATTATTAACATAATACATGAAGCTGTGGAAAAACATTGATTAAATTGTTATTTCTTATATTCGTTCTCAAATAAGCTAGCGCAGTTGAAGAATTCCACCATGAATTGCTTCAAAATTTTATTCAGTTCTCTTTCACTGAGAAAATAATCAAAAAAACTCCTTCATCTCAACTTTTTATCGCTTGCGAGCCATAAATTTCAAGTTCAGAGAGTGAACGATGTACTGTTTGATTTAACTAATTTAAGTTCATTGTAGCAGTGCTTAGCAATTAATACCTTTATCATTTGACTGCACGCACTTGCAAGTAAACAATCAAATGTGAATTGAATGACTGAAAAGTTAAATCTCTATTCTCAAAAAACAATTTATTTACTAGTAAGTAAATTGCTTATTGAGAATAGCGACGTCAATATTTGCATAATTTTGTTGTCTGCAGTAATGATGAACCATGTATTTTCCTGACTTTTTCTTGAATGCAAATATATGCTTCAAATGTTTCCAAACAAAAAGTTAAAAAAATGTGTACATTTTATGATAATGCAAAGTTGGAAATCGGGAATCCGTAAGCAAAGATTCTTTAACAAGCTCTGAAGAATTTTTAATCCAGAACAATAGTTTCAACCTTTACATTTCCTATTATTATTATTATTATTATTAGCGATTAATTTCGAACTCAATTAACTGTTGATCAGAATAAATAATTGTTTTGTTTCATTAACCAAGAATTGTCTTTATTTTCAATCAATTATTGAACTGTACATAAAATGCTTTAATAATACTGTATTAAGAATAAAATTGAATTCACACAAGCATCGACAAAGATTTTAATCAAAAAATTATTTAGCTCATATTAGATAAAATAACGTGATAAATTTTGTTTGCAACTGGAATTATTTCAAAATTTTAATGAAAATTTTAGACTAGAATAATTTTAGGATGTAAAAATTTTCTCATAATGTCCAGCGTTATTTTCGAAAAATGTTCTTACTATAAAGTTTTGCAAAGCATTGCAAGTACATCTGCAAAAATTAAATTTTATCAGATGTTCTCATCTTATTTTCCTTATGCAAAATCTAGTTAATCCTTCGAACTAAGTCCGCAAAATATAGAATTGTATGTTAGGGATCGAACCAGTTGACAAAATGTATTCAGTCAATTTTCTTTAAAAACTTAACATTTTTCTCGATTAGTTCCTTCTTGATTTAAATTCAACTTGCATAACTTTTATTCTATAAAAATGCATTATTGTGGTATAAATAAAATGGATGTTAGTACTGCACTTGAATTTTAGTGCAAATCTTGACAGGCAATCAACTGCACATAATATCAGTTAGTAAAAATTAAGAACAAGAAATGACACTTTTTTGATTTAAATATTATAGTTTTGATTGTTTAAAGAGATAAAAATAGCCTAAGAAAATACAATTAAATTTGCAAGCAGACTAATCTTAATCAAACTTGAGACTAGGTAATTTGATTTTGCATTCACTACCTAAGCATTTATATACAGCAAAATGAAATAAATGTATTCCTATTTTGAAAACTTTAAAAATTGGAAGTTACTTCAATTTCTGAAGTTTTCAAAACAATAAAAAGTGCAAATGAAGATAAGAAAAAATTAGACAACAGAATATTCAATCAAGTATGTATGCTTCGAAGAATAAATCACTCGAGAATAAGCTAGTTATCGATGAAACAAATTTTTGAAAGAATTGCTTTTGTTTCGTACTTCTTTACTGCAATTCAAATACATAAATACTGTTGTTATCATATCATTAATTAACAATTAAAGCAATTACTTTAATAAAATATACCTGATATTAATATTTCATCCGAACAATCGCAACAAATTTTAGCAAAAATTTCAATTTGTTCCAATTTACAAGCAGTTTTTAATTTAGCCATTAAGTGCTTAAAGCTTCTCAGAACATATCAGAATTACTAATCTTTTGGAATGAATGAATTTTCAAAATAAAACAAATTCAAGGAGCCAAGTTTTCCTAATGGCTAACTACTTAATTAGTGTTAGCTCTCATTCTGAGAAATTGAATGAACAGAGGTGAAAAAATTCCTTCAAAGTATTTATTCTACTTTTACTTTCATTAGATATTTTTTTTATCTCAGTCTTATGTCTAATAATTTTATTGAAAAATTATAAGTAAAAAGTACAATTGGAAACTTATTTTCCACTGAAAGTTAGTTTGTAGAGCATAAAAATTGCAATAATAAGAAAACTTGTGATTTAAAGTAGACATTTTGACCTATTACATGATAGTACATTTTATGGGAACTCGAGGATTGCAGCAAAGTAACCATTTCGATATTTGCATTTTCCATTTCGAGAATTTTCGATTTGATTCCGAGTATGGTGGAAGTGGTGGTAATAAATCTAATTCATCTGATGCAGAATCATTATCAATTTCTACTTCATCAGTTAGCCTGGAATTATTCTCATTCATTTAATCAAATCCAATCAAAGTACGATAAATTGCGACATCACATCTATGAATTATTGTTTAATTACTTGCTTAATTTCAGTTTATCACTTATTTTTTCACCTGCAATGCCAGTTTCCTATCAAAAAGTCACTCGATATGTTGAATTTAGATTTAGTCTGTGTAAATTTGAAATAACTTCTCACATATTTGCTTTGAGAATTAAATTTCAAGTGATTAGTTAATTTTTACTTAATGAGTCAAATATTACTGAAGCAAAATGCATTAGCTGAGTATTACATTGTAATAAGTAAGAAAATCACTTTAGCAATCATAATATGAGATCAGTAACTAATAAATTTGTTGAGAATCAGAATTTTACAGAGAAGTTTCTCTTGAATGAATTGTTGTCCTATTCACTTTCTTCTGTGGACAATCATTTTTTTTCTTAAAATGATCAATCAATGGCTGATCGATAATCGGATCAAACGAGTAATCATCTGCAAGTGCCTGGTGGAAATCACTATCACAGTCCTCATCAATCGTAAATTGTAACGAATCTTCTGTGACAACACGAAATGTTCCTAAAATTTTCAATTTAAATTTATTCTTAAAAAGTAAATATCAAAAAGTTTAGTAATGCTTTTCAATGTAATGCTAAAATACGATTCCTTGCACGGTATTATTTCTATGTATTTGACTATTTGTTTTATTACGACATTACTACTATTGCCAGCACAATGTTATTACTGTCATTTCC